ATATCAGTAGCAAGAACAACTTCTTCAAAATCTTGTTCTTGAGCTGTTTTAGCAATTTTTAATTTAGCTTGACAATTTAATGGTTGAAGAACTAAAACATTTATTTTTAATAAATTATTCAATCGAGAAGAAAAGAGGGTGGGTGTGGGTGTGGGTGTGGTGGGTGTGGGTGTGGGTGTGGGTGTGGGTGGGTGTGGGTGTGGGTGGGTGTGGGTGTGGGTAAAAGTATACAAAACATGAATATTTACACCCACACCCACACCCATAAATACAAAAAATGATGTTCCGAACAAGACGGCTCAGAAATATAGATGTTAATGAGCATCTTCTCTTGACGAACACAATTTGATTCGCCCACATTACAATCTGAACAAATATCAAATTATCACTACAAGTTATGATACACTCTTCTTAAAATTTCGCTTTGTCTTTAACTGAAGTCATGCTTAGTGGAGCCCAAATCGACGACCCTTGCTCGTGCATTATCAGTATTAGTTTAGCAATAATAAAAGAAAAACTCGACTCGTACATTCTACTTTTTGCACTTTCATTTCAATTCTTTCGAGCCAGATTCAAAGAAAAATTTTAGTCCAACTAAAATCTAGCGTTCTCTACAAATTACAGCAATAGTTCTAAATTTAAAAAACTTCCTCAATCAAAAACTTACGTCCTCTACAAATTGCAGTAAATATCACGAGCTCTCTGCCATCAGAAACTTGCGCCCTCTACAAATTGCAGTAACTATCCGAATACTAAAAAGCTATTTATTGCCAAAAAAGTGACGACCTCTACAAATTGCAGCATGCTTTATAAAATAAATCAATTTTTATAAAAATCTTTTAAAACAATTTACTTTGAATATTCGTTCGCATTAATCAAATTTTCAAAAGTTGAATTTAAATTTTAAACGTTTTACAACAAATTAATAAAAGTATCAGATTTAAATCAAACGAAATTTCAAAAAATTTCATTTATTTAAAATTTATTTTCTTCATGTTCGCAAATGAGAGGTAGCCGAAGAAGATATGTGAGTTCCACATTTTAGCCTCAAAGGGGCTGCGCAGATAAGCTTTTTTTGATAAAATAAAAACAACTATCAGATAAAACAATGTTGTAAAAGAAATTCTATCAAAGAAAGATTAGTAATCGAAGGTCGTGAGGGACGATATAGGAAGTGCGCATTGATGAGTAATACGTTACACAATTCGAAGGAATGAAAAAAACACATGCGACAAAAAACATGAAAGTTAGAAAAGGGTATGTCATTTACTTGAGCCATTTATCCTTTATCAGAGTTGAAGTAAACTGAAAGAACACTCCTACAATGAATAACATAAATATTTTGTTTTCTGTTGAAATAATTTAAGAAATTGTTTCAGATTTATTGAAAAGAAATGACAAATAATTATGAATATATGAATGAGTCATCCATCGATATTAGTCTTAAATGTGTTATCTGCTCCGATCCTTACGTAAATCCTTGTTCGACACCGTGTGATCATACTTTTTGCCGATCATGCATTATAAAATGGATCGAAGAAAATGATCGATGTCCTGCATGTAGAAAAAAACCAATAACAATACAAAGTTTGAGAGCAACGGATCGTATCGTCTTTGATATAGTTGATCGTCTTCTTGTTCGATGTAGAGCTTGTCGACAATCGAACATTCAGCGAGGCAATTATGATGAACATTATAATAAATATTGTTCAAACACATTTGTCTCTTGCTCAGCTGCAGATCTCAAATGTTCTTGGCAAGGACCACGAGATAAACTCCAAGACCATTTAACTGTATGTCATTATGAAATGATGCGACCACTTCTTGGAAACTTGGTAAACACGGTGAATACTCTCAATGAAAAAGTCCAACAATATGAAAATCAAAGCAAAGAACATGAAAATCGTATCAATTCACTTGAAAGCGAGAATGCTCGTCTAAAAGATGAAGTTAATTTATTGAAAGGATTCTGTACAAAGCAAAGTGACAGGTTGAACAATCTCGCCGCCAACGAGGCACAACGGAAAGGTATCTGCAATCAACTCAACGAAAGAATGCAACTTATGCAAATTCTATCAAGCAAGTTATTGCGTCTAACACCTTTATGATGCTTAAAAAATCTTGAAACTTTGTTTTTTTTAGATCCTAATGTTGATCATAATCCTCGTCTTGAAGAAATACTTTCTCGATGTCATTCTTATTCCACTGTAATGCTCAATGATTTACGATTAGATAATTTTGATATACCTTATATTATTCGTAAAGTATTAATCGTCAAACAGTGTTCCGTATTAAATTTGAGTAATAACTTAATTGAGGTGACCGGATTCGAACTATTAGCTAATGCATTACGATCGAATGTTACACTTAAAAGACTTTCTCTTAAGGGTAATCGAGCTCAACTCAAAGGTGTAGAATATTTAGCGACAGCCTTAATAACCAATAGCACACTTGAAGTGCTTGAACTGGAGACAAATAGTATACCTGATACGGCTGCTTACTCATTGGCTGACATGCTCCGTCGTAATCATACATTAAAAGATCTTTTTCTCGGTTATAATGACATCGAAAGCCGCGGAATGGAAATAATGGCAAATGCTCTTGATCATAAATCTACACTTGAAATACTTAGTTTGGCTGGAAATAAATTAAATGATAAATGTATTGATGCTCTTCACAGAATGATTAATATTAATCAAAAATTACAACGACTTTATTTACATGAAAATGGACTTTCGTTGGAAGGCAAAACACGATTATTGCATATTGTTAATGCTAAGAAAGGTTTTACACTGAATATTTGATTGAATCAATTTTTTTCTAAATCTTTTCTTAATCGCGACGAATAAACTTTCATGCAGTGAGTGCCTAGAATAAATTGCACTAAATCTTAGTGGATTTTTGTTTCTCGTTTTCTATTTATTAAAATATTGCTTGTTATGACAAAAGATAGAGAATTTGAAGCTCTATAAAGCTATGTTCACTATAGACCTAGATGTATTATCATCAGTGTTGCCACCTTTCGAAGTCTGAAAAGCAGAAAATACATTGCAAAAAGCAGAAAATAACAGAAGTTTTATCATCGAAAAA